TTAACTATAATATCGTGTATTCAGGATTAAAAAGTACAACATTATTGTTGAATTTTGTATTAGTTTAAGGTTGCTGAAAATTTAAAAGATATTATGCTTCATAAACCTTCAAAATTCCATACACTTTATATTTTGTTAAGGACGGATACAAGAGCTATAATAATTTCCTTAAACTGTTTTTTTGACTCCATATATAAGCAGATTTTTTATATAAATTTTGTATTAAAATTTTGATACTTTTCAATAACTGGGATTACTTAATTAATGGTTGTATACATAATTCTAGAAACCTTTAAAAAAAATTCAAAAGTTTTAACATAATAAGCAGAAATGGACTAACTTAGTTAGGTATTTCTCAATTGATATCACCGTTAACAGTATCTCTAATATTTTTCTTAACATTTAGAAACATTTTTTCACATTAGATATATTTTTACGAAATTAGTGTCGGGATAAAATACAATATTTTAAAAAAAAACATCCTTCCTCTAATTTTTGATTAAGTATTACATTTTAATTCTAATGTAATATTTTAAAGTAAACGAAATAACCAACATGGCAAAATTGTATGTATAAAAAACAATATTATAAATCTATTTATTATAAATCATACTTAAGAAGCAGAACGAAAAATAAAACTAGCGCATTTATGACGAGAATTATTAAGCAAACATTGAAAAAAAATTGTAACTTTTGCCTCACAATTTTTAAAATAAATATTTACTGGAATATTTATTATATCTTTATATTTAATTAGTAATTTTCTGCTTACATAGACTAAAATATTAATACCAGTTTGAAATGAAATTAAATCTAAATTTTTAATACAGTTACTCTTTTTTAAATCTATTTTAGTCTTAAATATTTAAAAATTAGTCTTATTATTTTTTTTCCAAAATTTATTCCGTTTTTACGCTGTATGTTTAGAGTTGTTGGGGTAGTTTTTTCATGTCAGAGTTTTTTTAGTGGGTTCGATTACAGAAAAAGCGTGATCGTTTGTTAACTGGAGGCTCTGACCAATTTTCTATCTATGACTGTAGAGTTTTTTATGCTAATCATAGGGCTTAACCAAATATTTTGTAAAGGCTCTCGTCTCGTGGTGTGCTCTCTATTTTTAATTATTTTTGCAGGTTCCCATTCCTCATCCAAAAAATTTTACTTCAAGTTCCAGGAGAATGGAAAGACGACGTTCGATTTCGAATGATTTGACCTGAATTGATACCTACCGAGGTTGATCTGGAATCAAATTCGAGTGCTGAATAAAGAAATGGACACCTCTGCAGAAATTTAGGACTCTGGCCAAATGAGTTTCTAAACTTAATACCGGTAACTGTTGTATTTCTACCTAATGTTCGGCAAGGGCTCATTTTGCTAGAGGCTTATAAATGTTCTTTGTTTTGTCTCATAGACTTTATCATAATTCAGAAAAAGCAATCGAGTTTAAATGGATGATTGCAAGTATTAAAGTTGCAATGTAACTTCTTAAATTTGCTGGTTTTGAATATGCAGGTGCTAAGCCATAATTCACAACACGATAAAGTATGAAGTATTCAAAATTAAGTAACCGAAATGCTAGTTTCTGACTCTGAAAAGTCATCTAAATTAAAGAAGAATTTTAAGAATTCACGCAATTATTAGCCGAAAATTATTTTATTAGGAGGGAATAGAGAATGTATTAATTGTTTAAAAGAGGATGGAAAAATGCGCTTCAATTTCTGTGGTTTGAAACTTTCTTTTGATACCTGACCGTGCATGAGTGTTATTTAAACATTTCAAGGAAAGAAAATTCATTATTTTTCTTAGCTTAAATGCATGACAATACCACATAATTTTAATAGTACATTTCTAAGAAAAAAATTAATTCAAACGTTGTAGCATTGTATGCAGTTGAAATTTTTTCATTTAACGAGTCGTGATAGTTCTTTTTCACTATAAAGAAACAACGCTTTTTTTTATTCAAGTTTGAGCCTTTTTGGACAATGAAATTACATTAATTCTTCCTGAAACCTTTCTTTTGATTCACAAAAGAATTTTAAAGAAATATTTGTCTTTTCCTGGACATGTTTTGTTTCTTCTTGGAGATAAAAAATAACTCGCAGATGTTTATTCTAATATAAAACTAAATAAACTTTAATCTTTTAACGAATTGAGAGAAAAATATACAGTTACGTTGAGCTAGTGCACTTTATATATTATATTTACACGTTTACAGTACAATAAAGCACTCAATTCTTCTTTATTTTTTTTTCAATTTTATTTTAAATGCCCTAGTACAATTTTGTGTGTGCTAGGCTTTCAATGTGCATTTTAAATTTGATGTAAAACAATTGCATATCAAGGACAAACAGAAATTTCAAATTTTGTGAAATATTTTCACGAATGTAAATAAAAAAAAAATTCTATGTATTTGTAAATGGTACAAGATTTTTTTGGCACAGAGATGGAATTAAAAAATAAATTTTAAGTTAAATATCAATTATCTACGTTTGACAAATATGGAGCAAAAGAGTGAAAATCTCTTACAATACTATTTTTCTAACTGTAAACTAGGGCACTGTTTTTTTAATCAACATATGGGAAGCCTCTTATAACAAGTACAATCAATACAAATGCTTTTTGAATACAAATTCCTTCAATTTTCCATAAGATCAAAGGAAAATATGCTAATTAAATATAAACAATCTAAAGTTTTTGTTCAGTTTCATATTAAAGAGTCACTGTAAGAAGTCAATGTTTTCAACATTTTATACCCACATTTATGAACTAATATTACTAATCTAATTATAGCACTGATTCCGTACAGAGAATGTTTTACAAAATAGTTATGATGCTATGCTGAAAATTATAACTAAATTGTAATTTAGGGATTACATAATCAATTTCTCACACGGCGAAAACCTTCTAGGAAAATTAACGTTTTGTATAGTAATAAAGTTTCCAATTTAAAAAAAAACAACTTAATTTTTGTTAATGAAACTAAAATATACGTTATTGAAATCATTCATTTGGTAATTTTTCCGCTAATATGATAGTGGTTTACAGGAAATTCTGGTTGACAAAATTATAACTCTCATTAACACACATTTAGGAGAAATATATAAAATTGAGAAATAAATTTAATTACACAGATGGCTTTTACGCCATGCTCTAAGGTATCATAATAAAATTACTAAATTTTATCCCATATTATTAACCATATTTTATAGTTAATTTTATCAAAATCATTATCAAACCACTTCGATTAAAATTTCCTAATTTTTGGGGGTTCCCATAGAACTGGACATGCAGTAAATGTTACCATATTTCGGTAGTTTTGCCCATACTTTGTTCCTATTGCACAGCTTACGACATTTTCGAAACATTATTTTTAAAATAAAATGCAGCCAACATCATGATAGCTACGTATTTGGGATTTTTTTCGTAAATCTCAATATTTTCCACAGAATATAAAAAACATATTGTTAATAATCTGTAAGAAATTAACGACTTCCTAGGTCCAAACAATATCTAGTTGTCTTTGAAAAAAAAACTTTAAGCATAAGAATACAGATAACATGACATATTATGAAATTGATGAGAGGAATTTCTATTAGTTAATGAGGTTTATACAAAATATTATTATACTAATAATACTAATATTATTTTTTTAAATTCTTAAAAAATTCAATATACTTAAAGTTTTTAGCTCTTCAGCTGTTGCTCACTCAAGTCTACTACCCCCATGATAGCTCATCATTTTTAAATCATTTTTTTTTGAGAAAGACAATAATCATTTAGTCAATAAAATATATAATCATTCAATTTTATGTAAGCACATTTCGTTAAAATGTTTATTCTTACGATATGAACGATGTCCTAGATTAAAAAGGTTATTGACTATGTTTGAACGAATTAAAATTGCTAAAACAAAATTTCTGATAAAATAAAAAGGAAGTAGGAGAAGTAATTCCAATTATTAATGATATATAATAGTAATTTTGCCATTTTAACAATTAAAGTAGAAATCAGTTTTGGTTTTAGTTAAAAAGTAAACTTTTATAGTTTTTTTCTTCTTTTTTTTCAAAGTACAATATAAATATTAAGATGTTTTATCTGGAAATATTTAATCTTTCTATTATTTTGTTAATTTCGACATAAACTCAAAGACGAAAATATAAAATTAAGATCTCCAGAAAGGTAAATAAAGTTTTCTACAATAATGCAAAAATAGTTATTACTAAAAGCAAAGAAATGTAAAAAAATTCCCAAAAAAAAGCTTTTAATATTGATTAACTTTCAAATGAATTAGAATTTCAAATTAAATTCATGTTCATAAATAAAAATGGCCTCTTATTTACATTCCTACAGGCTGCATAGCAGACAGCCGGATATTTTTTACTACAATTTTAGGAGCTAATAATTCTAGATTCCTTTTTCTATTCCATAACATTCCCTAAACTTTATTCTACGCATTTTCGTAAATTCAAAATCCAATGTAACGTAAAGTTGAATACATAAAATAGCGCAGTGGCACTATGAACTTATTAATGCAGGTTAGAAATTAGTATAGGTTTCTATAAACATTCATTAATCACATTGATAATGGAACAGTTTATATCTTAAACCATATTCAATGCTGTTAAAGAACATAATACATGCTGTGATTTATTTTTTTGCACCACTGTTAACTGTAATTTAACATAAGAGTTTTATCAATTAATTATTTATTATAACTTCTTCTAATTTATACGCATCCCTTTTTTAATTTTATGACTTTAAAGTTAGATTCAGTAACTAGTTTGATTTAAAGTTAGATTCAAAATTTTTTTCAAAATAACTTTTCATCATTATCAAAAATGTATATTGCATCAGTTTAAAGAATTAGAATTTAGTAAATACATGTTAGTGTGTGAAAAAAATGATGTCGTATTCCAGAAAAAGGATAATAATTATACCATCACAGATATTAAAGTATTTATCTTTAAATACATAAAAAATTTAATAGTTTTTATAAATCTTACCAATTTCTTTCCACTCAGAACGCTAGAAAGGTTCAACTCCTGGCAATCATCTAACTCTTTATGTTCCATTTTTAATTTCTGTATTTCAGAAACGACAAAATTGACTAATTTTTGCGATTCCAAATCATCCATATCCTGCCACTCTGTCGAAGTCTGAGGTGGTTCTGTCGTCGTTGTGGTTGTCGACGATGTGGTTGTGGGGGATGTCGACGACATTGTCGTCGTTGTTGCGGCAACCTTGTCATCTGTTGTCGTTTCCAATGTCGAAGATGATGATGGACTTTCCGAAGCCGAACTTGTCTCTGGCAGAGAGTCAGTGGTCATTTGTCCCATGGCGAAAGCCACCAATGATAATAGCACCACGAACCTCATTGATACTTAGAGTTTCACTGAGGACGCGGAATGAAAAGACCACGTGGTCAAAGAGACACGGTTATGAGTTAAATGCGCGGAAGAGGGGTCACTCGGATGGAGACGGGATGATTTCTGCTCTAAATCTGGCTCCACCGAGATGCGGAAGAGGATCTTCTGTTCGATGAAGTCGTCTGATCCCAGAATAAAGCGCCCCCTATGCCCCTTGAGTTTGTTTTGAGTTGGAAAGGAAAGATAAAAGTATCGCTCTTGACATTTTTTTCACGACACGAATATGACTTGATAGTAAATTTTATTTAAAGATTTCATGTTATACTTCCGATTATAAATTTTAAATTTTTTTTAGCCATTTTTAGTATTTAATTTGCGGGTCAAATATAGATACATCAATATTAGTTTATAGATTATTTTTAATCTGTCACAGATAAGAAGTAAAATTCGTGAGTAAATAGCACAGTTTAATGAGTTATGATATAAAAAAGAAGTAAATACGTGTTTTATTGAAATTTTCGCTGCAAGTAAGATAAAATTGATGATTACTTTTTAATATGTGAATTTTTAATTATGATCCGTTTAGAAAATAACAAATTAAAACGATTTTATTTGTGTCTTTTATTAATATTACTTTTATATATATTTTTTCACAAAAATATATATTTTTTTGATCATGTACAAAAAATTGGTTTTAATTAGGAATGGAATCGTTTGTGACAACACGAAGAAAAAACATTCTAGTAAAATTACCGTCCTATATCAATAATATTTCTAGTAAAAAATAGTAATTCTGTTTAATTAAACCAAATTATACAGTATTAAAACCATTCAATCGGCAAATTCCTTGTCCATATCACAACGGTTTTTCAAAAAATTCTGGTTTTTAAAATTGTAGTTCTAATTCTAAGACATTTAGTAAAAAATACAAATCTGAAAAGTAAATTTAATTGGTAAAATAATTTTTTCTCATTTTCTAAGGTACCATGATAAAATTATCACATTTTACCACATTTACCAAATCTTAGCACTTACTATAAAACCATGTTTTATTGTTGATTTTACCAAAATCATTACCAAATCGCTTTCGAAAGATTTCCCGTCTTTCTACAGATCCAGAAAGACAGTGGGCTTTACCATATTCTTATACTTTTTAAAACACTTCTTTTCTCAGTGAAAATAGCTTCATTTTAAAGGTGTCAATATATTTGTGATTACTTTTATTAATTTTCACTAATATCCCTTTTATTCTTGTTTTTTTTTTCATAAAAAAAGGTTTATACATATTCTACTTAGAATTATCCCTTAATACGTATCACATTATCGTCAAATCAGGGCGAGAAGCGTGTTATTGACTTTTAAATAATCTCAAATTATCATTATTTTTTTCCTGAAAGTAATCACAAGGCAACTGCGTAGTTCACAATTTCAGATAATTAACTCAAAATAAATTTCCTCTTTCCTTTTCACGTTCTTGAAAATTATTTGCATCTGTTTGCATAGCTTTAAAAAAATTGTAAATTGAATAATTCATTTTAGTAAGTTTAAAACTTACTAAAACTAATTATTCAAGTTCATGAATGATTCATTTCAGTAAGTTTTAATGAATAATTACAGTTTTCTTGTTATTTTTCAAAATTTATCTTACAATATTAGGTTATTATTTAGGTTATTATGGAATATTTCAAATATATTAATAATATTATTAATATATTAATAATATAATTTATAATATTTTATGGTTACATTTATGGAATATTTCAAAAGAGCTAAGGTAAAGTAAAGTACTTCTCAGTTGTTTCGTAAGTATAAAGGGAAAATAACATTGAAATATGCTGAGGTGTACAGTGCCTCAAAAAGAAACGGACCACCCTGAATAACTTTTGATTTAATGATCGAATTTTCATGTTCTAGTACTCAGTCTTATTGGTTCGAGGAGGTGAACTCAAATATGCTAATTATTAAGAGCCGACGATATATTAAGTTACGAAATCAGACAGAAAAACGCACTTTCTATGAATAAACATACCTTTTTTCAAGACGGGTTTTGATTTTTGACCCCCAAAATATTGCTGTTAGCCGAGATTCGAGAAATATGGTCCCAATAGTTTGGTAAGAAGAACGCTCTAAAATTTGGATTCCTTAATGTTAATTTTGCTTTTTGCGTAATTTGCTATATCTCGAGAACTTTTCAAGCAAATTGAAAAATGCTTCAGCATAATTATATAAGTGCTTTATCCGAGGATAAATCCATTGAAAAAATAACTATAAGTAAATATTTATTATTTTTTATTATTTAATTTCAGAATGATCGAAGAAATTGTAAAGTAAATAATTTTTTGCATAATTTTGAAGAATGTAATTTTATATAGCAAAATACAAAATTTAAGCAAAATTGGTCAAATTTTCAGCGTCTGAGTTATTTGAAATTCAATTTCTCAGAAGCTGTTCGACCGATTTCGATCAAATTTTGTACTTTGCTACATAAAATTACTATTTTAAAATGATGCAAAAATTGTTTACTTTGCAATTAAAAATTTTTTCGACCATTTTTAAATAAAATAATAAAAAAATATTAAATATTTACTACACGTTATTTTTTGCATATTTGGATAAAAGAATTTTATAATTGAGTAAAAAATTTAGTCAATTCGCTTAAAAAGTTCTTAAGAGATAATGAAGTACATAAAAAGTAAAATTAGTTAAGTTTTCTTCTCGAAAAACTTCCCTGATTGCTGTTTTTTAAGAAGTTCTCGAGACATAGCGAAATACGCAAAACGTAAAATTAACATTAAGGGGTCCAAACTTTGACTCGCTATCCTGACCAAACAATTGGGACATATATTCCAAATTACGGCTCCCCCTATATCTTGGCGGGGGGTAAGAAATCTGAATCCGTTGAAAAAAGTGTATGTTTATTCGGAGAGAATAAGTTTTTGTGTCTGATTTCGTAACTCAAAATATTATCTGAACTTATTAGCTAGCATATTTGAGGTCACCCTTTAAAGCAATTAAGATTGAGTCCTAGAAAAGGAAAATCCAATTATTAGGCCAAAGGTTTTTTCGAGTGGCCCGTTTTTTTGCTCACACTGTACACTGGAATTGATTCTAAAAAGAAACTATTTCTTCTAATAATTCAATAAACTCTTTTAGTTTAAAAAAGAAAATTTATTTAAATATTCTCCCGATTTAGGTTTTACTGCACAGCTGTAGAATAAGTATTATGTTAATTACATTACTATTGCCTTAAGTTAATCCATCCAAGAGCAAAAATTTAAAGTAAAGAACTTTTTTAATCCAATTAATTTGTAATAATGCAATTAAGCATCTTTCAAGTAGCAATAGAAACTTATTTTTAAAGTAAGTGCGAAATATGACTTTTCATTTAATTTTTTTCTCCTATTCGGAAGTCATACTGAATGTTCTGAATTATCGTTTTTCTGACATAAAAAAGATACATCTCAAAACCAATTTAAAATAACATGTTAAAATTTGTAATATTTATTTGGTATATAAAAAGTTTTTTTTATCTTTCAGTGTATTTGCTTAAATTGATTATTTAAACTGTTTTAGATTTTATTTTTCATAAAAAGTAATTAAAATGTATGAGCTATACAATAAATTTAAATTGAGAAATTTTCGTTTTTTTTAAAGATTTATGTTAAAAAAATGCTGAACATGAATATTTTTAATCAAACTAATGTAAAAACTATTAGTATTGAAACATAATATTATTTTTAATACGAAAATTTTGAGAAATCAATGTGTTTTTTTTCTTTTTAAATTAGGATTTATACAAGATTTATGAGAAATTTAGGAAGAGCCTTTGTGTGGTTCATCATTTTAAAAAACTTAAAATAATAAATGCATTTTCAAAAACGAAATGCTTAAAAACTGATCCCAGACCTACTCACACATATTTTTTATACCCGTCAAACAGTTTAGTTTTTCCTCACAATACGAAAAATGCATGGTTAAACTAAGAAAATATAATTAAACAGATCATGTCTCATATGGCCATGACATGACCATAAACTGCCACGACATGACCATAAACACGGTAATTTTTGACTAAGCGCTTTGGAGGGGGTAATGAAATAAAATCTGGTATATGCGATACTTTTTTTTGATTATATCGAAAGCAAAAATTACCAAATGAAGGTTTTAAATACAGTAAATTTTTATTTTATTAACCAGAAGTGTGATTTTTTTTAATCAAAACCTCTTTATCATACGTTACTGTAATTTCAACAGAGTTTTATTTCCCTCCTTGCTAAATAAATGAATCTATTTAATTTCTACTTATTTTTTCCATAAAGTGGAAATATTCTGATTTTGAGGCCCTCCATCAGGGCTTAATAGTATATTTTACCTGTTTTAAGCTCTAAATTTTGATCGCTTAAGAATCGGAAAAATAAGATTTAACAGCATGTAAGCATAATTAAACAATTTTAATAATAATCTCATAAAATATAATTTCCCTATGCTTAAAATCAGATTATCATAGACGTCAAAAAAATTTCACTGAATTCAAAAATTCATTTTAAAACTCATTCTCTTTTATTGAGTTTTCAGATCAAAAGGAATTCTTTATGTAAACGCGATTTCAATATGCTACCTGAGAAAATCTCTTCAATAAATGGGTCTTAGCTGAAGGTTTCTGCAATTTCAGGCGTGGAAAACTTTCGTTTTAAAATACAAAAAAAAAAAAAAAAAAAAAAAAAAAAAANAAAAAAAAAAAAAAAAAAAAAAAAAAAAAAAAAAAAAAAAAAAAAAAAAAAAAAACAGAAAATGAAAAACAATTTGTTTCCGCTTCTGACCCTCGAAATCTCTTTTTCACACAGAAAGCGGGAAAATAAATTCCGAAACTGTTGCATCATTCTTAAAGGCCGTTACGCACAATAGTCAAGGGATGAGGAAGGGAAAAAAAAGTATTCGCAATATTGTTTTGCTGAATTTCGAAAACCGGCGCTCAAAAGTAAGTGCTTTCAAAACAAAATATTTACATTTCTATTAAATGGAATGAAAATGCATTTTTCATAAATTTTGTTTCGAGATTTTTTTTTTCTTTATTGAATATTCATATCTTTCCCTCCGTAGCCCTAGAGAAAAGAGCGTAAAAATAGATTCAATTTGTTTATTTTTATTGCTTTTACTCCGA